TGTGAGAAAAGGAATTTTTAGCCTAGTTACTTCTCATCTCAACTGTGTAATGATGAGAAGTTGTCGCTAATCTATTACTGCGAATAAATTCATAAATTTTATGTACCATAGAGAAGAATTCAACTGAACATTTACCATGAAATGATGTTTAAGTAGTTTCACCGAATGCAAGGCAGTAAAGCCAGAAACGCATAAAGGTTTACAGGATGCTGAAGAATTAACAACAGAAACATTCCTAATGAGCGGGAAGAGAAAATAGTAATCACGTGGACAGTTGATAGCAAATTTTACTGCATTTAATCTTTTGCTGATTACAGTTGGTTGTAATGTATGGAGCCGGAAGGATGTTTTACAAGCGAGAAGTGTGAGAAATGAGACTGTTAGCATAGAAGATACGGTTACTTCTAGCCAGATCAACTGTAAATTGATGAGAACTTGACGCCAGTTTAGTACTGCGCTTAAATTCAAAAGTCTTGTCTAATATAGCAAATAGCGATATTTATTTCTGCTATATCCAGACAATGGCACAGGACCAAAAGGAAAATGAAGAAAAGGTCAGTCTTCATCTGTCTTAACGTTAATCTTAACTAGCCACAAACAATGACTCAAACATACAACAATATTCTGACACCAAAACAACCCATTTTTTCTTACCTTTTTCACTACATTCGCCACAATAAATTAAGGTCTCGATGAATCTTCTAACTATTCCCCATATTTACAATTCATTGTCAGTGAGGGGAGGGAAATATAACAACAATTTTGAAACTAGCCCCACTGAGTATTTACAGTATGAAAACTATTTACAAGAAACTAAATAAAATATTGTTAGTAATAAAAAAAAAAACTCAATTCCATCCAAACAATTTCCATGAAATTATTTATAGAAAAGAGAGAGAGGACCGATAATATTGCTGATTACTTTTTTTGGATTTTATCAAGGCGCTCAAGTTATATAGCATGGCAACTAGAGCATATGTGACAGCAATATTCTAAGAATCGCCGAATGATAGACTTATAGATATGTAAAATAAAAATTATAAAACAGTAACAAAATAGCTAAATTACGGTGGCGGAAAAGGGACACAAATCGATACGCCTGGTCAGGGCCTATAATATTGCTGATTCTTTTTAGGTGTTTATCAAGAATCTTTAAATATATAGCCACGTCATTAGACCATATGTGGCAGCAATATTCAAAGCATAAACGAATGGTAGATTCTGGAGAGAAGAATTCTCTAGCTAAAGTTAGTTAAACAACATTTTTAGCAGCAGAAATAACAGTGAATTTAATATAAGTTTTCCAGTTCGTTTCAGCTGAGAATGTTTGCCAAAAAAGCGTAACGATAACTCTCCTTAAGGTTAGCATCATCAATGTTGATTTGAGACAAAAACAGGTCTCTCAGATGATTAATAGATAGATGTTTCGTATTGCAGTGGGTTAAAATTAACATGTCATTCCTTGCCCCAGTTAACAACAGTGTATAAATCATTTTGTTTTAGATCAGATGCTAATATGAAACCGATCAAACTTTTTATCGAGACGGGAGTAAATGTCTGTGTCATTGGCAAAGATACCAATTTGAAAACTGATGTTATCAGGAAGGTTAATAAAACATAGATCTTAGGGCTACTCGGACATTTAGCCGATGGACATTTGGCCGACGAGCATTTAACTAAATGAACATTTAGCTAAAAATGTATCGCACTTACATGTATGTCACACTCTTTATCGTAATGTGCTACATATATTTATATATATTTACTGTATTATTTTACATTTTTGTTTGGACAGTCTTTTCTAAAAATCTATTCTGTATATGTTATATTTTACTTCAGATATTACTGTAAGATGATAATATTTTCTGACAAATGCACATTTTACTACAGAAAACATTAAGATTTTAAGATATGAAAGATCTTTCAATTTCGCGTTTAATGATCATGATCTTAAAGGAAGGAACTTGCTGTTGAATATTAATTTATATAACTAGGTGCTACTTGTTACCCAAATAAATTCAAATATTTTTTAAAAATACTAAATTCAATAAACAAATATAAAATTTAGAAACATTTAACTTTAATTTTAGATTTAGTAATTTAATCACTTGAAATTCAGTGATAATTATTAGTCTTATTATAACTTATATTACTGCTAATTAATATATTTTTGCTTGTTATTATTTTTAGTTGTATTTCTTCGGTGAAATGTCAGTTGGCCACATGTTCCTTCGGCTAAATGCCTCTCGGCGCAATATCCGTCGGCCAAATGTCCGTCGAGCAAATGTCCGTCGGCCAAATATCTGTTGGCCAAATGTCTGGCCACGGATCTAAAGATATACTATATTGTGTAGCATTCCGAACATGGCTTTTATGACGACAACTATTTTTAGATAAAAAGATTGTCAAAAGTTTATCTATTTGATAATCTTTAAACGAACATGTCTGACCACTTCTTTCTCACCATTCATCTCAGTCATAGCCCTACAGACATGTAAATTTCAGATTCCACTGTCAACTAGGTGTTAAGGATCTATTTTATAGAATAAAACAAAACAAAATATATATATATATATATATATATATATATATATATATATATATATATATATATATATATATATATATATGTGTGTGTGTGTGTGTGTGTGTGTATATATATATATATATATAAATTAATATATATATATATATATCTTATTCATATAATATATCTTAATTATATATATATAATATATTATATATAATATTATAAATATATATAATATATAATATATCTCAATATATAATATATATATCTTAATATATAATATATATATATATATATCTTAATATAATATATATTTTATATATAATATATATATTTTATATATAATATATATCTTATTATATTATATAATATATATCTTAATATATAATATATATAAATATATAATATATTATATATATAATACATCTTAATCATAATATATATATATATATATATATATATAATATTTTTGTTTAAAAATTTGATTCCTTCGCTACATAAGAGTGCTCATGTTTCAAAAGCGAGAGCCGAAATCATCCAAATAATTCTTAAAATTAAGTTGAATTGAGGTGTTTAGTCCCGTTTCATCTTCAAGCGAAATTTTAGGAATAAGCTATCTCTTGGTTTACGTCTGTTTTTAGGCATGGTCCGTTACCAAATTCGACTTGTAGGCGCGCCATAAAAATATCCCTCACTGGGAACCAACTAAAGGGTGACCGCAAACATTAGCTTTGAATTAGATACCCTACCCAACCTTAGCAAAACCTCTCAGAAGATGATGAATCTAATGATGAGAATTAACTCTCTGACCACTTAACGAAGAAAAATAGTCTAGCCACTCCCACAACAACGAATTGCATGCTCATGAGTAAGAAATCCTAAGAATTTATTATTCGCTGTCGAAAACAATAAAGTAATAAAAGAAATTTTCTTTACAATGTTCTTTACCATGATATCCTATAAAATTTAATTAAATTAATGTATTAAACCGCGAATTATGTTTTTTGTTAAAGTATTTTTCAAACAAATTTAGCTTATTCAAATTTCATCAATTGGTTTGCGAAATTGAACGAAACGTAAAGTTTGAAAATCTAGACAAAATGTGGTACCGATTGCTTCAACAATACTAAATATTGTGAGGATTTCGAATTCTAGCATGAGAAAAGCCGTCAAGTAATTTCCCATGCGTTGGAAAATGTTAAATATGGAAATTACGCAACGTGAGAACATGACGATCTGACAGAAACCAGACATGTTTGACATGGCGTCGGGAATATCGATATTCGTTTCAGTATCAATCATTCTGGATTCCTATTTGTTCTTTTTTATGGAAATTCAACATAAGAAAAGAAATAAGTTGTATTTTTTTTTTATCAAATAAAAGTCGGAGAATTTCAAACCATGTTTCCAGGGCTATATATTTTACTACCATGTATTCTACCACCTTGATATTTCCAACGCACTATAAAATTTTCTAGCTATGTTCCGTACACTATTATCCAACGTTCGCCATATGTGTTAATATGCTTCAGCTGATTCAAGAATCATGCTAGAAAACCTCAGTCATACATATAGAGTTTGAAAGATCAACAAATAAAGATTGTATGGAAAACATTGAATGTAATTAAAAACATAATTAAAGGTTAGAGATTCTTTCATTTTCTATTTCTTTTTTATCGTAATTAAAAAATAAAATCTTATAGCATGAAGAAAAGTATAACCTCAAATTAATAAATATTTTTTTTTTTCAAAAATCTTCGCTGGTGACTTCTTTATTTTTAATTTTTATTATAATAAAAAATAACTATACTACCAAGAAAAGTATTGGCGAAAGTTATAGGAAAATGTTAATCTTACTTGAAGATCTTAAGATCTTTGATATATGAATTCTATTCGAAAATTGATTTATTTATTCTCTTTTAATTGGAACTGCCAATATCTGGTCTGGTCCTCTTTCTATATATATATATATATATATATATATATATATATGTCGAGATTCTTAACAAAATTCGAAGAAGAATCTATCATGTAATTGATCCTGACCATCTGTGATTTTCACACCGACGTAACGTGACTTTCCATTAACTTTTCTACATATATTTTGGGCGATTCTTCTGATAAACTTTCCTTCTCGGTACCTCGACGGCATGGTATTAAGCGTGCTAATACATTGGAAACTTGCTCTTGCCGTTTTGCTATTGAACTAACTAGAATCAACAGTCTGTTCTATTCTGATAGTTTATTTTCTTACGTGTGGATTTACCTGCCTTTATTGCTTTTCTGACACATAAAATCTTAAAATATTTAAATGCCAATCACTTATACTACATTTCTTATGACAGATCTTACACTGACATGTTCTAAATGTTTAGAATGTGTTTTGGGGGTTTTTTTTTTTAAGCGTTTCACCCCAAGCAAGGCGGAAAGCCACTAGGACGCAAGGGGTTACAGAAAATTTGGAGCAAGGTCAGATAGGAGTGATAGAAGAAAGGATGAGGAGAAGAGTAGTGGATAGATCAAGGCAACTGGAGATACTGAGGCCAGAGAGAGAGAGAGAGAGAGAGAGAGAGAGAGAGAGTACCGGAAACCCCTTCCTAAAAAAGAAACAAGGCGTAAGCCTCTACTCATGTCTAAGAGAAGGGGGAGGAGTGTTATTTTAATATCTGATTGTTATGATGGATTCAGCCTATTTTCCATGATAAATTATATCCCAATTCTAGATCATAGTTTCTAATTTGGATACGTTTATTGGAAGACATATATACTGGAAAACCTGATAAATATGATTTTTTTTTATTTAAGATTAATCATATCCTATCTAGGATTACAACCGCATCACGTTGGCATAACGTTTCCCGTATAATCAACGAAATTAATTAAGGTCAGTAATTAAATGCTTAACTGCTTAGGAATATCAAGTGCTCTAATCTTGGATGTGCTGGTGGTATCATGGATAATGGCTTGGAATTTTTAATCGGAGAATCAAGTTCCAATTCTTTTTGCGTTCGGTATATTCCGGATTACATATCTTCGATTATTTTTTTAAAATCTTTTTATTTGTGGAAGTGTTTTTGTTGGTGAGCCTTTGCATGTGCAATTTCAGTAGTGGGGAAAATTACGCATAAAGACTGGACGGTTTATTGAATTTTCATTTCTATTTCAGTTCATTTGTTCGTGATGTCTGTGAATATAGATATAAATATCTCCTTTAGATTATGCTTCTTTGTATTAATTCTTGTGTCATGCCATAAAAGATGTGTATATGCTTATTGCATATCTCTGCTTGCTGAAGTGTCTTTTGTGTGCGATGCGGGGTATTCGTGTTTATTAAAGCGTACCAAATAGAAAAGACACGCAAAAGCGAGAAAGAGGTCTTCATGTAAAATTTCTATAATTAGAATACAATACAGTTTTTATAATATATTATTTCAGTTAAACGTACTTTCATATATACATACCAATTTCATAACTTCTATATGTTCAGTACTGCATTCAGTTTTTTGTGGATCTAAATCTGTAAATATAAATTAATTCGACTAAATAATGAAAAGAGAACCAAATTATATTTCCAAATTTTGCAAACCTAAAATTAACTTAGCTTTGTCTTTTCTATAAGCACTTACCTGCTAATCGTTCTGATCAATTTTTTATATAGACTTTATCAATTTAAGTGCAGACTATCTTCGAGGTTGAATCAATTTACATTTGAATTGGATAGATGTAACCGTAAGTTCTATGATAACAGTTTCTTCTCTCTCACTTCCACCTTGTGGAAATCCCTTCAGGCTTCTTACTTCCCAATCAAATATTCAAAATTTAAATGCAGTGTCAATCGTTTTGTTCTGTCATCCTAATTATAGTTCTTTTATTGTCCTCTCTTCTTAATATTATATTTTTCTCATATAGCCTTACAATCATTTGACACTTGTGTCCTACTGGCTTTATTACGTTGCTTAGTCGTTAAAATATTTTTAAAAAGCTTAGGAAATTTTTAACTTTCAATTTAAATTGACTTATAATTTTTTCGTTTTACTCCATAGTAAAGAGAAATATCATTTATCAACCAAAGTCGAAAATATTTTATGTGCTATTTAAGTTTAATAAATTAAATGAATTTCATCTTAACATAACATTTTATTTGAAATATTTAAATAAAAATTCTTTGGTTATGTTAGATAATATTTTGCAACTTGAACGAGGGTTATCACATCGTAAATTTGCATATGTGTCATTCCATATCATATAAATAATGACCACCATGTCACCCTATTGAATCTTTATCAAGAAATCCACTCATATTTCTATAACTAACTTATGACAAATCCCGATATATTAAGTTTTAATATTGAGGGCTGCAAATTGTGAGCGCTCTTAAATAGAATCCAGTGATCATTCCAGATAAATGTTTTACGTTCTTGGATAAGGCAGTGTATTATCACAGGATATGTTAAGAAGGGTTAAACTGAAGAGTATATTTCGCAAATATAAAATTGATTAAAAATCTGTATGGATGACTGTTGTAGACTTTGTCAAAAAGATGCCAAATACACCAAATTAATGGAATATCACCCAAACTCTTCAAATATAAATCCTACAGATAATTCGGGGTAATTATACATTTGGACCTCCCTACAACCACAGATCGCGTAAAGCTATGTGGCTAAAATTCAAATCAGTATTCGAATCAAATGCATAGACCATCAAATATGATGGATGATTACTTTGCACAGATTATGTGGAATCAAAGGTCCAAAGGCTCGAACTTTCATCATTCCCGCCTTAAATCGTTGCTGTTATATATCCTTTTATAATATTATGGGTTTTTAAATCGATATCTAATTGAAAATCCTCTTTATTAATGTTGGTTTTCTTACTTAACTCTTTCAAAACGTTCTATTTCCAAACTGAAATGTAAATTTGAATGCGATGGCAATGACTACTTGGTCTTTTCAGTCGTCTTGCTAAATATAATCGCGCCGTTTTCATATTTTGTTCGTAATCATTTTGGTTATAAATTGTTTGCTTTCCAGGTTTATTTCACAATATCATCTTGGGCCAAATGTTTAGTACACCTGTATAAAAATATTTGAAATAATGGAATTGCTTTAGTATTTTGAATTTTGAGCTTCGTGAATGACACCACCAGTCTTTCTGCGTCGACATAGAATTATTTCGTAGCATGATAGTGCATTATTTAGTGATGATCAAATTGTGACGTCCCTACAGCCTTCGCGCGCTCCTCGCTGCTTCGTTCGGGTGTCGCCGCTCCAAACGTGACGTCCGCCTGTCTGCGTCAGTCGTGTTGTCCCGTCATGTGACGACAAACTGGCTTGGTATTGGTCGCGGCACCCAAATGTGACGTTCTAACCTTTTGGTGATTCGGGTGGGAATCTGGTCAGATCCGATATCAGCCTCGTCGTTCCCAACTCGCTTCCAACGTCTGGTTACCAAAGTAACTGCGTTGATCTCCAGTCCGCCTACCCACGTTGTGAATTGATCTTAGGCAGACGAAATCAATTAGTCGTTGGGGCCGTAATGCAAGTTGAGTTCAAATGAGGGTGGTATCGCACAAATATGCGTAAAAGAAAAGAAAATAATAACTCAAAAGTTCAAGGTATCAAAAAAAAAGGATAATAATACTTTATATCTGGTTGCTGGATACATAGGACTGCGCCTATCTCCCGACCCGCTATATGGATTGTGACACGTTGTTTTTGTTAGGTGAGTTTTAACATCTTAAGTTGTCTGTTCTTTAAGAAATTGGTTCTTGGTGTGTCTTCAGGCGATAGTCGTAAAACTTATTTTGGTGGTATGGATTTAAGTCGCTCTTCAAAAATAAATTGTTCTTGGATTGAAGATGAGTTCGGAAGTTGCGCGAATCTTTCAAGTCAGCTAATGCGAGGCGGGACCCACTTCAACTGCGAACTGGAAGCTGATCCGAACTGGACTGAACTGGGAAACTCTGATTTTCGCTTGCTGCGACTTTGCTTATATGGACGCCGACCAAAACCGGGGTGGGCTGTGTTGGTGTTTGAGGTTCCTTGATAATTCCAAATCCACAGTCCCCTTCTTTTGTTTTCGGTCTGGAAAAATTTATTATTTTCATTTTTGGAAGTCTTCTCTTACCCCTACCTTCAGAGGGCGTCAACGATCCTCCCACGTCTTCACAGTAACATCTTATACCTATCCTCTTTAAGGAGTAGTAGCAGGCCTCCTCCCCTGCATCACATGATCACCTCCGCCTGGCTCTCGTTAACATTCACCCAATGGTTGATCAACAGTGTGGGCGTGACCAGACTAGCCTTGTTTCTTAAAAAAAAATTATCTTGCTCAAAGAAAAAAGAATTATCTCCTCATTTTTTTTTTTTTTTTTTTTCCTTTCCTTTCCATTCCATCTTTTCTTTTCTATTCTTTCTTCTTCTCTGGCCCCCAACAGAACAATGCGACCAGTAGTGTGATAAACTCAATTCTCATCTGGACTTCGTTAGTCAGATTTTCGCCAATTATCAGAGTGGGTGGTCATCCAGCAATTACGGCCAACTTTTCCGATAATATTGTTTCGCTCTTATCGCCACATTCTAACAAAACCCAGACCTTGTCTAACGATATCTTTCCCTCGACAATGACTTAACCTATTTTCCTTTGTTTTCTTTAGCTCGTAGGTGGTCAGGGCAGTCCCGTGACACAGTTAAATGTTTATCTATTCTGTCCCGGAGTTTAGCTAGCCGATCTGGAATTTGTCAATTAGATTTTCGCCAGCACCAAGTGGCTGTTATCTATTCCCGATAATATAAGTCCGCCACCACGACACAGTTTTTTTTTTATCTATTTAGAATTTTCGGCAATGGCAATGAAACCTTTCACCATTTGTCACTCTCAAAATTTCATTTCTTTCCCTTCTTTTCTTCCTTTTCTTTACTTCCCAAAATGGTGTCACAAAATTCCTCACACTGACAATGACTTTATCATATACATCCATTGCTAGTGGCTAGAGTTATAATTCCATAATATCAATCTATTTTTTCATTCGAAAACACAAAACTAACGTCTTGGTATTTCCTTAATAAATATGGTTGTTTTAACCGTTACCAAAGACTTTATAACAAAATTAAAATAATGCTTGCAAATCAATTTGTAAAGCAAGCAATTCTTCTAGGTCTTAATGAAGTAAATATACTTAAATCTGGATTTATTGAAACATTAAATCACCATAATTCAAAGTTTTTTTCTCAAATTAAACTTTAAATGCATAATATTTACGCCTGGAGGTTTTATGGAAGAAACTCCCAAGAGGATGCTTCCCCGATCACTGCAAAAAACAAAAAAACAAAATTAATGAGCTCTATAGAACACTACAGTGGCTGTTTGTTCTATTAATTTTATGAATGTATTATTAAAAATCTACGATACCTCTTAGTCAATAATCTTACTTATTCAAAACACGTGTTTTGGTCTTTAAAAGAAAGAATCAGGTTTAGGCTCTTAGAAAGCAAAGACGAAGAAACATGGCGCCGAAATATGAGACTATTTCGAAAGCAATACTTTATGGTAATGAAGCTGAGAATGGCGACTCTAATCTTGGTTTGTGCGTTGAGATGAAGAGCCGACAAGTGGTTGGCACAAATTGCTATGGTGAGCCAAATTTGGCAGAAACGTTGTCCCACATTCCGGCAAAACACCCCGCGTGTCTCTTATTTTACACCCTATTCGTATTGATGAGGCCGGTTTATTCTCATCTCTGACCGTTCGACTTTCTCTTCCAACTTTACGTGTTGCATTTTCGCACAGTCCACCAGTGAGTTTTTTTTTTCGTTCGGATAAACAATTGAAAAACTTGGCGCCTGTTTCTGAAGAGGTTATTGCAAAGGAATTGTCACCTAAAGCAGAACGACGAAGGAAAAGAGAGAGAAATAGAGAGAGACCTTGGCAAAAGAGAGGAAAACTGACAATAACAGGTTGCCAGTGGTGAGAAACCAAAAAAAAATAAAATAAATACGGAAAGAGAAGAAAAAATAAGAAGAAATTTGAAAATATGAAGACAACTAGAAGAAAGAATGAAAAGAAAATCTAGGAGAAGCAAAATAGAGAAGGAGATAAAACAAATTATAAGAAGATAGGAAAGAAAAGAAAGAAAAAAATACGACAAAAAATAAAAAAAAACAACGAGACAACGAAAAAGAAATGGATCAATGAAACATTTCGCCTTGTGGTTGAGATTGATGCGTTATGTCAACCAACTTCAGTTGCGAAGTGTCAAAACAGTTATTTTGAATTCAGATTTTGAAGGCTTAGACGAACTATTATGAAAATAGAGTTAACAAAATTGTCTTTCCAATTCCCTCTCCTAATTTCTGCTAGGCAAAGATAAATTCACAAAATATCAATGTCAGAAACAAATCCACATTGAAAACTTGCATCTTTCAGTTGCCAGACATTATTGAATGTAAACATGTTATCTACTTTCACTTTCACTATATAATCTGTATAATACTAAAAGTCTATAACTGCTTGCCTGCGTGCTTGCTTGCTTTCTTGTGTGGTTCGTGTGTCCAGAGCATAATGATTTAAGTTAATCTGATTTAAATGAATAAGGTTTTAAAATTGTTTATGCAGTAAGTGTTTAAATTTTAACTTTCTTCAAACAGACAATATTTTAATTAAATTATTTTTAAGTTAAAGACAGACTGAAAGAGATCCCGCTTTGCTGTTTAGCCCAGTTGTTTGGAGAGTAATTATTTATATTTCAGCTTTCTTTAAACAAACAATATTGTAAATATTAAAAAAAATATTTTTGAATGTTATAAAATATTTTCAAGTGAATATGATTTTAAAATATTTTTGGCATATTAAAAAAATATTTTAAAGTCAGTCTGATTTAAAGTTCAAGTTTATTCCAGGAGTTCTATTCTTATTAAATGCTGTGAACAATCAGGAAAACCTTAAATATGAACTTGTATTCCAGATCAATAACGACACAAATGAATTGAAATATTTAACTTAATCATAATAAAATTAACTTCCATTTCAATGGAATGCTGAAATTAACTTCAATGTTTTATATCGTCAAACGTCAGAGACCCAACGGGCCACGAGTAGTTTAGTACTGTGCAAAATTAGGAATGGTGTAATCGTCAGAACCACAAGAAAAAACATTCAGAAGGTTTATTTGGATCTTGCTCCAGTTCTCCGTGTGGTCAAAAGACGTTTGGCAGATTTCGTCAGGTTGATTAACCTAAACAATCAATCACGCTCCGGGGGTGGGAAACTTCCTACGTCAATGAAGACGCTCTACTTGTCATCGTAGAGAATACACCGATGATTTCGACGGAAGAGATTCTTGAGAGTTTGAAAATCGATATTCCAACTGAATTACGACATTTGAAGAGACTTAAATTCAAGAAAAACGGGTGATTTTCTCAAATCGAAAAAGTATCGTTTTTCACCACGATAACGCACTGATGGTGAAAAAGAGACATTAGAGCTGCAAAAACAGTTGCAGTGGGAAACATTCCAGCGCCCACTGTATTCCTCTGATGTAGATCCTATGGGTTTTGATTTCTTCCGTCCTCTACAAAACGATTTAAATGACAAAAAATCGACTCTTTGCAGTCTGCAGGAAATGAAACTCACAACGTTCTTCAAACAAATAACTATAAAGTATCTAAAAAAATGAGACCAACAAACACGTTCAACAATGGGAAACAGTGGTTTAATGACGAATAAATCTTTTTGGGGGTGAGAATGTAACATTTTTAACTTTTCTAATCTGGCATAACCTTTTGGAATTATCTACTATAAATTAAAACAATGTTGCATTTTAAACTACGATTTCAGCAATCGAAGTTTTCATTAGAAACTATTAAAAGGAATTCTGATATACAAATTAAGAATGTCACAGAAAGCCTTCCATACAATATTATGTTCACGAGCACCGTTCAAATACTCAGTAAAATACTCTCCAAATAATATGCCTAATATCAAACAAAACATATTTCTTTACCTCGAGGTCTATGATAATAAATCGTATCAAAAAGTAAGTGAAGAAAACAGGCAACAATAATATTAAGAATATTCAAAAAAAAAAGAAGCTGAAAAAAGAGAAGGAAGAAGAAGAAAAAGAAGAATCCTAACCATTTGTTGGAACTGAGTTATCAAAAATAACAGTAGAAAATCTGAATTACTTTAATAACAAGTTTATTACCTTTTGGTACAAGGACACAATATAAAATTGAACCTAGGGAAAATAATGTTTCGCCGTAAATGGTTAACTGTTTTCAGCAAAAGCTACTGCTCCTCCTGCTACTCCTCTTCATGTAGGATTATTTTTCTAAATTTTTTTCCGACGACCGACTCTAAACTTTTAGGGAAATATTATCCCTCACAACTTTATTGCCGTCGATATTTAACACGCCATCAGTTTTTTATAGATGTTGAAAGTAATCAATTATTGATTTTGCTGTTCCACACGTTACATGAGTGAAGTCCAAAGAAACTGAATAGAACCTGACGAAGATTTTGATGAAACTATGCAACATAACTGTTGAAGTAATTCCTGTTGTAATCAGTGAGATTAGAACACCATATAAAAACTTGGAGCGGTTTGAAGAAATTATAGATATACAGTACACTGCTCTCGTGAAATTTGCCTGAGCTAAATTGTTGTATATTACCCTAGAGGCTGACGCATTCAGCATTTGTGTTTATGGAGACATCAAGGTCTCTTGTCGAGATTTGTATTATTTTCCTGCTTGAAAGATGATGCAGACAAGTTGCCATTTAGATACTACGTAACATCCTGAATCAGAGATAATCTGAGCGAGTGACCAGATATGACGATATTTCTAGGCATCCACATGTAGCGTTAAGCACTGCTTTTATGAAAACCTTTCAAAATAATGTGCGCAACTGGCTACAATGTACGTGCCAGATATACACTTGTCAGTCTTTTGTCATGAATGATATTTGGGTTGTGTACATTCATAACCCAGCGTCACTTTTTGGCGTATTGCTCTTTCGCATAATTCTTGTTAATCATTTCACTACACTTAAGGAAATAAAGCCACTAAGATGCAACCTATGTGTTTGGGTCGGCTACGGATTGTTAGACAATACGAGAAAAATTAATAAAAAAAAACAATAAAAGAAGAGAAAAAAACAAGTCAGTATATTATGATTGATATTGCATTTACATTAGTAAAATCAAATTTGGATGGAAAGTATGAACACAGAAGGGAGTTCCACAAGGAAGAAGTGCGATAAAAGAAACTATTAGCATAGAACTTGCGGTTACATCTAGCCAATTATACTGTAACATCTATCCTAGTACTACGCTTAAATTCATGGAGTATAGGTACTATAGATGTAAGATCATCAGAACAAATAGCATGAAAGTATTTATAGAGAAGACACAGGGCACCTACATTACGGTGGTGAGAAAGGGACTGTGAACGGGATGCCAGCTTACGACCAATAACATTGCAGATTATTCTTTGTAGTTTTATTAGAAATCTCTAAATGTATACCAGGTTCGCCAGGCGATATGTGTCAGCCATATTCGTAACATGGATGAATGGTTGACTTATAAATATGTAAAACAGATTTTGGAGAGAAAAAAAAACTGTTTAACTCGACACAATGAACCAACATTTGTAACAGCAGAACTAGCAATTATTAGCATATAATATATTCTTTCCACTTTATGTCAGCGGAGAAAACGTTAGCCCGCTAAAATGCAACGAGTCTCTTGGAGTTTAGCGACAACCATGATGATGGAAGTCAGAATGGGGTCTGTTACATGATTTATAGAAAGAAGTTACGTTTCGGAGAGGTTAAAATCTATAAGTCATTGCTTGTCCCATTTAATAATGGATTTTAGGTCACTTTTTAGATCGGTTGACAACTGTACAATCATCATCAGTAGCAGCAACAGAATAATAATAATAATAATAATAATAATAATAATAATTCTCTGTGTCGGTGTATTACAAATGCAGTGTATTTTTTTTCTTTTTTAATCATACTTTAATTTTATTATCGTCGATCGAGTTTTGATAAGTGTGGGGCGAAAACAGGTATCTCCCAATATGATTTTCAGTAAAAAAAAAAAAAAAAATTCACGTTTTCAATTTTGCTATTCTTTTACCAACATATATTAAATATGTCTGTTTTATCCGCCTTCAGACGAAGAAAATTGGTTGAGCAGTTAATAAAAACAGACAACTTAGAATAAGAATTTATTAAGAAGAAAAACACACGTAACACTTATGTCAATATATGGCTTTAACTTTTTTAAAAGACTGAAAGAGAAACCAAATGTAATTAAGACGAGGATAAAATCAATGAAAATACGCTTTTGGTGAAGACATGAAAGTGTGAATTGATGTATACTGTCCTATTTTCAATTACTAGACTGTGTAGTCCATCTTATACACAATGAGACAGAGAGAAGGAAAGAGAAATCGGTGTTTCCCTGAAACTTACTTCGATCCACCGCCTCTGATCGTTTTCTTTCAACCCTACTAAAACCACCGACATCACTTTCACGTACCGCGCATTAGGCATAGCTTGACTCGCTTCAGTCACTCGGGAATTTAAGTAAATTGTGTACTGTGTCTTGTGCTGCGTGACTGGAATGTTTCTGTCATTCCGAGCAACGGAAATTCTCAAACATACAACCCGCAGTAGATATGATGAAAGAGCATTGTTTGTCTTTGACAGAGGGTTTGGAAGAGCTCTGCGAGAAAGCGTGACTCGAAACGCGTCCATTTACATCCATTTAGACAATGTTCTACGAATGTGAATTGTCGTTAAATGTTAAAATTGGATTTAATGGGAAGGTGATTTGAACTATCTGTCTGGTGAAAGTCTATTGTCCTTGCATATTCCGATTGATTTACCTTGGCTCACACTTGAAACAATATTAGAGATTATACTTTAAACTGTGTTTAAAAGATTAATAGTGAAAGTTGTTTCTTTTTGAGAAAATTCAATTCAGATCGACTGCAGAAAATGCATTATTGAAAAGCGTGTGTTTAGGAATATCAAGTTTTATTTCATCAAATTTGGACAGTTTTTAACAAGATTTATGGAAAGGAAATATATCTTTATCGACATTATTTTTTTGTGTGTCTTAGAAACCTTTCTCGTAAAAGTTTGTAATTTAGATCTCGGACTTCGTTATTTGTATTCGTTTATTTTCAAATC